AAGCTGTGTATTGTAGCCACTGGTCTGTTTGTTCAAGATGCATAAGGATCTGTGTCCACCTAGAATGTCTGTCTTGTCTATATGACGAGCATGTTGGCAACGGTCGCTGTATGACATAACACTTATCTGTTGCTTTTTACTGTATATCTTTTATTTGAGATTGTTTTTTTCCCAGACATGGAACAAAGAGGATGTGTGTACAAGACACTATCCATAGGAAGCAACAATACTGGAATATTTTATATTTGGAAAAAAGTGCTAGTGACATCGACAGCGCCTTTCTGAAAAGTTGCAGATTTTCAACTTGAAGGACTCGGAGCAGCAGCACAAAAAAAAGGCAGCATGCTTGGAAAAAAGACGCTAGGCGCTGCACTATTTCTCCAGGCAGCCTCCTGCTGCTGCAGATAAATGAAAAAAGACGCTTGGAAAAAAACCGATATGTCAACACAGGGCCTAACCATCTAAAAAAGCACAAATGGAGAGGTTATCTTAAGAAATTTGCTCTATATTGTTTTTTTAAATGGGTGGGAAAAAAAACTGACACAACAGTTTGGAGTGAAACTGGATAATGGGCTTAATGATTGGTCAGTTATTAAATACTCCCCAACAGGTCTAGTATTGCTTGTCAAAGTGAAGCCTCTGTTTCTGTACTGGGTTGCTCCAGTTATGCTCAACGTCAAACTCAGCCTAGTTTGAATGTAATTTCTCATTTTGGAAGGAGCTTACATTACCTACTTCCATCTAAGGTGTTGCACCTGCTGAGATTGTTTCTACATACTATAGGCATAAGTCCCAATTAAATCTTTCACCTTGGTTGTGGGTGTAAAGTTCTCCATTAAACATGGTTTGCAGTGCACAGTGTATTGCTTAAGGCAAAGGTAAGATAACTTGGTGGCAGAGGCTTGTTTTTGGCAGTGCATTCTCCGTTATAGATTACATCCCTAGAAATGTATGATGACATTGTTTTGCACTCTTGCTGTTGTTGTCCATGAGCAGTGAAAATTTAGACACACAAATAACGGAGTAATTTTAAATGACCTTATTTAGTAATTGAAGATTTCACCACTCGATACCACTGTGCTTATTTTACACTATCTGTTGATAAAGGGAGTAGCTTTAGTTATCACCTTGTCATAATGCTTTGTTGTATTTTTTATAGGGGGCATACATTCTCATTGCTGTTTGTCCTTTGGCAGTAGCTATTTTCAGCCTTTAGTGTGTTCGATAAGGCACAACAGACGATAATATTTTGTTTTTGTTTAGACATTAGACTCTACTAGTAAAGATGATCCTCATGTCTCTGTGGTGTAATCAAACTATGCTGTGCCACTGAAATGACAAACTAACTAGTTTCATCTTGGTTAAGTGAAAACTTTGCACCCCAACTTAAAAACTGTCTGTTTGCAACAGGCCACTGTTTACATAAATGTTGTGTTTTTGTTTTTACTGCCCCAAAGGTGCCCCCCGTAAAGTGTGCGCCAGCAATGACAATAGCTAATCAGACCTATTTCGTTTTTTGTACCAGCCTTTAGACATGTGAATTTATGCTGTAAAAAACAATGTTTTTCCCAGTCACGTGTATGTGACTTCTGGTGTTCCTGGAGCCAGCCTCAAGTGGACACTGGATGAACTGCAGGATTTTGCACTTTGGCTTTGGCTTCTTTTTTTGCCGCTTGGTTAGAACAAGTCTTCTGCACCAGCCATGGTATGAACCCAGATAGAGCAGAAAGTAACAGAATAGGTCAGACTCTTGACTTTTTTTTATATGCATGGTTTGATCATTCCTCTATTCATTATCAATATAACTAATTCTTTGTGTGTTATGGGATGACTGGAACCATATATAGACAGACAACCACTCGCAGCCACACTGCAAACAATTTACAGTCACCAATTAACCTAATGAGCTTGTCTTTGGACTGTGGGAGGAAGGAGGAAACTTGGAGCAACCCAATGTAGACATGGAAAGAAATAAAATGTTGAGTGCACAGTGCTTGTGTAACAGTGGGTCATGATTTTCTACCTGTTGCTGTTGAATAAGAAATTGAAAGCTTTCTATTTCCACAGCAACAGGCCGCAAACAACTGGATGAATCATTCTGGTGAAGGTTATATAATTACCAAAACATATTCACCTGTTGTACAAGAGAGAAGTGAACCGAGGGTCACAGCAATTGGAAGCAGATACAGTTCGAGCATTTAATAAGCAAAGGTCCATCAAAATAGTTTTCACATTGTTGAACTTTTGGTCAAAGGTTTTGCTGCCTCTGGTTGTGCAACAAAGCTACTGGTAGCTTTAATCCTCATCTTTTCCATTTTTGAAATTGGATGAATATATGTATGACGGATCGTGAGAGGAGCATTAAATACTGCTATACAAAGTGGGGCTTTTAATATGTGCAGCACATGTAAGGGCTGCATGATGTATAGTTTGAGCATCAATACTTGCGATGTTCAGGTGGAATAACAACATTGCTGGATGTGAAGTGTAAGTTAAAGAAAATTTGGATGAAAAAAGTTACTTTTTTAAGACTTGATACAAAAGGATCACAAAAAAGTCATCAGTGCCTTGAAAACAAGGACATCAGACATTATGTTACTGGGGCACTCCTTCACTAAAGCAAACAGCTGACTGACCGCTGTGTGTCCAAAGTCTTCATTTATCCTACCTGAAAACATACACAAGACGTAACCACTGTCACAAAGAACAATGACCGGATAAATGTATTCTCCTTTCTTTGTATTTTTTGACTATTTAAAGGTTTAACTGCAAAAGAAAAAAAAAAAACTTTTAGAGAAAAAGGCAAATCAAGATATTAAATTATTAGTGATGATGTACAACAAGGTGTTCTGATGTCTCACTGGTGGTTTTTGTCAGTCAAGTTACACCAGGAGCTTGAGTCTCATAAATCATATTTTCAGATCTGTAAGGTAACTGGTCTAACATTAAAAGAACAATGCAGGTAGTCTAAACACATAGTATTTTTAGACCCATGATGCCTTGAAAACAGTATTGGCATCTTGGACAAATTGGTGAGGGTGGCTGCCGGAGACTGGTCACAGCTAAAGAGCTTCCCCGGATCTGTGTCTGGTTTCTGTCCGCAGTCTGCAGCTGTGTCACCACAGTTCTGAAGGCACCCACCAAAGGTTTTTTCTCGTTTTATTTCTCTTTCTTTAATTATGAGTCATTTCGCTTCAAGGCATTTCATTTGCATTTTTATTGGAAACTCTTGACCATACATAATTGAAGCTAGATGGGTTGATCATGTAGGGCAGTGTGGTCCATCTCACAAAGAGCTTTTACACAGCCTCTTTGTAAAGATTGCTCTGCATCTTTTGGCTACACAGTAATCACAGTGGATCTATTTTTATGATTCCGTTTAATGCCGCATGTGTTTATTGTCCTGTAAAAATGATGTACGGTCTTTTCCGCAAGAGGAATTTTTACCTATAGATAAAGTCTTGAATGTACTATGAAGCACTACAGAGCTCCATAAAGTATCATAATGAGGTGTAGAGATGTGTCTGAGGTGTGTTGTTTCCAGGTTTAATTCACTGCGTGGGAATGCATATTTACACAGAGAGCATACACCGACCTGTCCAAGGTTCTTGTCTGAAGTATGACTCACTCGTGACCCATAGCTGTTGTTGAACCAAAGCAAAGAAACAGTCATGTTTCTTCTGATTTTCAAAACCTTGTTGGTTTCTATGATCTCACGCGTCGTCGCTCTTAAACACCAGCTGTTATTGATTACCAGTCTATTCAATGTGAAGAGACTTAAGATGGGCCTCGCTAAGAGAGGAATCTTTAACAGTTAATTTTTTTTCAGCATCTGTTGCATTAAGTGGTTAGTTTCAGCATTTATCGAAAAAAGTGTCACCTTTTTTCAAATAAATATTTAGTTACATGTTTGTTACATGTTTGACAAGAAATACATGACTCCATGCTGTTCATGCAGAGATATCAAATAAAGAAAAAGTGCATGTGAAGACATTTTTCGTATAGTATGGTATGGTATTCTGGTTCCACACTTTGGAGTGATCTGCTACTCTTTCGTTTGGTTTGAAATAAAAATAACGGTAGATTATGAGATTAGATTAAATCCATTGATATGAAGCTATTTGCATTTATGTCTGAAGTTTGTGGCTTTTATTGTTTGACATACCAGCAAGGAGGGCGACACTTTCATCAATTCACCAGTGCTGCTCAAGGAGAAATATATGTTTGAATGCTGAACAGAATGGTGCAGCTCTGATCTCCAAGACAGTTTTAACTTTAGTAGTCATAGAGAAAAAAGCTGTTCTTGTCTTAAAAACATGCTCATTTAGTGCCTGGAGGTACATTTAATAACTCCTCAGGACTCAGAAAAGAATACTTATGTAATATGAGTATCATATTACTCAACAAATACGTTATTCTTATTAGAAAATATGACCCCATACAGTAGATTATTGCTCTCTGTGATTAATAATGTATTATATAAAGAGAGCTTTGGTACTGTATGTATCAAAAAGGTTGGATCCATCCACTTTGCATCCATCTGGGATTAGTACACAAACAAGTGAACACAGTTTAAACCATTAGGACAGTTCTGCTGTAAATGTCCTGGTTTTTATGTCTGAAAGCATTGTCAACATTATGACTGTGATCCCGAGGACAAGTCCACAAATGTTTAGGGTTTGTCTTTTTCAAATGTTGATTTGACTTAGCATGGATATAAGTCTGTAATTTGTGTTGCTGTGTTGTACTCTTATTTTAACTATTCCTCACCTGCTCACAGGAAATGTCAAAACATGATGATTTCATTCTTTTCCTTTTCTGTTTCCGTCCTATTGTCCACTCTTTGGAAATTGTCAATACTTTACTTTTCTTTGGGTGGAGGGTGAAGTTTTGTCAACCAGTTGTCTGTATTTATGTTGTGTCTAATATGAGTGCTGTGAAAACTAGGTTCATGAAAAGACCACTATAATAATTGATTTGCTTTTTTCATTAATTTCCAGGTTTGACGACGAGGCTGCACAACTTGGCTTGGGAGTACTGACAATCTTGACGCCACACCTGTGAGATCTGGAGAGAGGACAGAGATTTTGTATTCAGCTTGACTCATCATCTTGTTCCCACACCACCTAACTTGGTGAGGCCACATCTGTTTGGTTTCTTATTACATAAATCTCAGATGAAATTTTGCTCCTAATATTATCACAGAAAATCACCCAGCTGTTAAGTAGCAACATATAAAGGAAAAAAAAACAAATGTCACTTTTCACATACTTAGATGTTGTGTGTTTATGACAGCTTGCTAAAAATGGGTTTATTCAATAACGATGTAATGAATGGACAATAGAAAGATAAACTTAGAGCATTTCCGAGGACACTCTGGGGGTGGCTGTGGTTCAGTTGGTAGAGTCGTCGTCTCTCAACCGGAATGTCAACCGGAAGGTCGAGGGTTCGATCCCCAGCTCATGCAGCAACATGTCCGATGTGTCCTTCAGCAAGACACTTAACCCCCAATTGCTCCTGTATGGATGGGATTAGTTACTTCTAATGGTCTCACTACATAGCAACCACTGCCATCAGTGTGTGTAGTGGTGTAAATTGTTGGGTGTGACCTGCGTCGTAAAAGAGCTTTGAGTAGTCAGAAGTCTAGAAAAGTGATATACAAGCTCAAGTCCATTTACAATTTGCCAGGTAGTTTAATTTTTTTACTCTAACTAAATCAATACTGTATAGTCCAAAACACTCCTCAATTAATGCAGCTGTTTGGCCTTACTGTCCCAGGGCTGAAAACTAAATGGACAGGGAGGACGTACATTTAGTCCTGGACAAGGTTTGAAAAGAAGCATTCAAATCAAATAATTGTGTGAAATAGAGAATTACTGGATTTCTGTGGAGGCTTGACATGCATGTATAAATGAAGCCAAACCAAAACCTCATACAGCATTATTAGAAGAACGCTCAGACCTGCATTCATACATCCTAAAGATCTGAGATGAACGGAATACCTGTTAGAGAGAGAAACAGAGCCATTTACAACACAGAGAGACACACACAGAAAGAATGCTCGCTACCTCCGCAGATGAAATGGCCGTGTGGGTGGATGTACATGTGAGTGCAGGCTGCTAGAAGCTGTGAGTGGGAAGTGGGTACTGAGTGGGAAGAGAAGAGCTGCTTTAGTGAGACGATCAGCACCAAGGCCTGCTGAAAAGCAGTCAGGCTTTCATGGCTTCTCTTTGTGTTTTTTTACACTTGCACAAAGACATAGTTTCATGATGTGGGATTGGTGATGGATGGTGGATGAGAGTTTTTGTTTGTGTGCCTGCTGTTGTCTGTATACTGAATGTGTGTACTTGTGAGCCACAGTGGCTAATCGTGATGTATCCAGTTACAAGACTAGACTATAGACAGACTGGAAAGTAGTACAGCATCAAAGCATGTTGAATACAGTTTTTATTGAAAGTCTGACAACTTATGCAACTGATGGAAGTGGTCCTAATGCAGGGCTGTATGTTTACTTTTTCTGCCCATATCACCGGTGCTACAGAGGTTGATATTCTCAGGACAAACAATTGTAGCATGAAATATTTAATGTCTATAACTGTACATCTTTAACACCAACCACAGGTAGTGCAGTTCAATTAAACAGGCTGTGACTGGCAAAGGAAATTAATATTGTATACAGTACACAGATATTTTCTTTATTTGCCTCAGACATTAACAACAACTGTCCATAGGATAAAACATATTTGGGTTGGAATTTGACTTTTTTGTTTATCTCCTACTGTGGCTGGTGAATTAAAAAAAACTACCAGCCAATCAGTTTCTATGACCAACCACTTTATTCTAAGTGGCAGCATTGTGTAATGATGATGTATCTATAATAATCAAGTTTTATAGTATTGAATTGACTCTTTTATGAATGGAAATGTGTATTCAAGAAAATACTGACATGCTCTTTGTCTAGCTCAATAAAAAGGTTTAGTTGATTATTTCGAGGCTGGTTAGAGTCTTCAATTCAGCTATATCCTAACATGCTGATTTAGCTGAAACTAAACCACGACTGAAAGGCAGAATAATCAATGTATTGTTTAAATAGAATTTGAGCTGATATGAGGAGATTCAGAACAACCATAAAGGTTTCTGCTAGAAAGTTTGAGTTTAAATATGAGATGAGCTAATGAACACATGTTCATGCATAACCTCAATCAAGCGATACTATACAGGAGCACACACACACACACACACACACACACACACACACATACGCACGCAAACGCGATGATAGTTATATTCCTGTACATACCATATGTGTATATTTTGTATGTGTTCAGGTGCAGTAGTCATAATGCAGGACAAGCAAATGCCCTGTTATAACACATCATACAATTTTAATGCTTGATCAAAAACAGAAAATCACCAGTTTCTCGTCCTTCATGAATTATCCCCCGAAAAACACTCTCTCTGATCTGACATGAGTGCAGCCACTTCATCCACCAGAGCACAGAGTGAACCAATCTGGGAACCCATCAGATATTAAGTCTAACAATGTTACAGTACTTATAGTGGATTTGAGTTTAAATGTAGCAGTTACCATAGAACTTTTGCCACAACCTCCTTTGTGGTGGGTTACCATTGTTACCGCCCAACAAGTAACTTTAAAAGCAAAATTTAAGCTAAAAAAGACATTACGTCATATGGATAGGAAGTTTGGACTCTTGCTCCATGTAAACACCTGTTTATATAAATCAACAAAAAGCTTAATATGGCCACTATAGCTCTTCTGTCTACACGGACTGTCTTCATGTATACTATACATGTCAATCAGGGAACTGTCATCAGATACAGGGAGCAACTGTTGTTGTGTACCCTCACCTTTTTGTCTATGTTTGGTTTTATGTCTTTGAAGAGCCATGGAGTACTAATAAGAGTATTCCTGAACTGAAGTTGCTTAGAGGCAATATTTTATGCTGTTCAACATCCTTTTACTTTTATGCCAAAAAATCAAAAGTGCATATTTCTTAGATGAAAAGCCTTTGAAGTCACATTTCCAGAACACCTTTACCAGAACCCTCAACTGACAGCTGCTTTTATAACATCTTCTATTAAAGCATGCACGAGTTTGGTTTCATTTGAGGTTCTACTAAGGACTGTGGTAACATTTTGAGTAAAAACACTGACATTATAATTTCATGATATATCAGTCAAAGATGACTCTAACTCTATACCGAAGCACTTCTGGCAAAGACAGAATGGAGTGACTGTTTGCATACAGTATGGCAATTATACTTTCAGGCTCCTTATGACCTGATGTTCTCCAGATGTTATGGTTAAAATGACCTGAACATCAACAGAATGTCCATCTATTCCTATAGAAGCATAAATTGGTGAAGGTTTTAGTCAAGCCTGAGCCAGCCCTAACTTTATTATCAAAAAATAAAGTTTTAAGTAGAGAACATGACACTGTAATGTTTCACATCACCACCATAGACTGTTTGCCTCTCCATGTATCCACTTTTAAAAAGGCTAAAATCTCTGACATATGACACTTTAAAGCTCTGAGTTTTTTCATCTGAGGGCTGTTTCTGCACTATGAAAAATGCTACAAACATCTTAAAGGCGGGACTCTCATGGCACATATGAACTGTACAAAACACCAGATTCACAAAAGGATTGCACTGCTTTTGAAGCGACTAAACCTGTGCAAATGAGAGAATAAGAAATCCACAAAACATGCGCAAAGGGTCAGATGCATTCACTAAACTGCACTGCCAACAGACGGTGTGCTGGGTGTGCCTTTTTACCATTAGCATTATGTAAATTAGGGGAAAATTGGCTCAAAATTGCCCCCTTGTAAGTAGGCCTCGTTGCAAATGCCATCTAATTCACATAGACCAGCGCTCAACACCACAGGCAGACACAGTGGTGCTTTTTAACGCCATTGAGCTCCTCCTGCATGAGAGCTCATCCCTGCTGGAGGTGCAGACAACTGTTCTCCACATTCAGATGCAAGCAAGCACGAGCAAACTGCACATATGCTTTGAGAATTGGACCTTGAGACAGAAAAGATAGTGAGAGCAAATGATGCGCAATTTCTGGAGATATTAGTGGCCACTATCCATTCTTAATGGAACTAAACCTTTGGGGAAATACACTTTTTAGTTTCTTGCTGGATGCTAGATAAAAGTTGACTTAATGCAGCTAACAGCTGGTTATGCTAGCTTAGCATTAAGAAATGGAAAGCTATAGCAGCACGCCTGTCTCTGTATGAGTCAATAGATAAGTTAAAACTTTGTTTTAATCAATATGAACATTTCAAAGACCATTTTTTTTATTTTACTGGATGTGCCAGACTATTTTTGATAACAGTCTGCTGTTCAGGCAACTAGCAAAGGAAAGCAAGCTCCTACTGTACAGAGAAGAGAATGGTATAAAACTTTGGGTCTTACTGTTGATATGAAAACATGAAGCATTTCTCTAAAGATGTCAAAGTAGGACTTAAAACATTGGTATGAGTGTCCTTTTTTATCTTAGATTTTTATGACTGCATATATCCTCATACAGCCACACAGTCATACATGAACAGCATACACACACACACACACACACACACACACACACACACACACACACACACACACACACACACACACACACACAGAAACACACACACACACACACACACACACACACACACACACACACAGTACAGTATTATATGTTGCTATAGAAAAATTATATCTTGTATTCCAGAGTTCCTCTACTGCTCTTTGCCTCCTGCAGTGAGACAGCCCTGAGAGTAGAGCCCTGCAATGCAGCATCTGTGTGACTCACACATGCACTCGCACGCACGCACACACACACACACACACACACACACACACACACACACACACACACACACGCACACACACAGACACACACACACACGCGCGCGCACACACGTAGACACACACACACACAGACAGTGGTGTGCGAAAGTGCACAGATCGTAGGAGGGAGATGAGGAGAGAGAGAGCAAGTGCAGAGCGAGGGGGAAGATGAAGCCTGATGGGAGGTGGAGGTGGTGGAGGAGGAACGAGTAGGAGGAAGAACAGTGATGGGTGGAGGAGGGGGAGGAGGAGGGAGTCGGAGGAAAAA